AATCACATCACACTACCTTAGCAAAATCTGACCAGTCTTTCAGCTTTTTGTTTCAGTTACAACATTCTGCTCCTACAAGTGACAAAATAACAAAGAGGATTCTAGGGGTGAGTCTCTGCGTTTAAGATGCACAAACAGCAATCTTAAGATCATGCTCCTTAGCACACTAATGGTGATGTAGAAATCGTTAAGATTGTCAGATTCTAGGCATTCAGCTGAGCTTCTCCTTCAAAGCACAACCCAGAAAAATTTAAGATGTTATTGCTGTCATAGAACATTCTGCAGGACAAAAGCACAAACCAGAAATAGAACTTGCAGTACTTCACCCAGGCTCTCAGGACATAAACCAGCTAGCAAGAGGTGGCCAAGTTCTCAGCCTGAAAAACCTCTCCTGCCCAAGAACCCTCTGAGAATAGACTGTGTAAGAGGATTTATCAGAGCTTGATGCAGAAGAGCACATGACTCAAGCCTCGCTGCAAATCACACAGCCCAAGTCACGCAGCATTGACCAGGAGCACACGGAGATGCCCTGGGGAGTGTGGGCCTGGGGAGCTGGGACACAGCATTTTCTCCATGGGCCTTGAGCTCTCAGTCAGTGCTCCTTGAACCTCTGCAAGCTCTCCCCATAACGACCATGCAACATCCCTTGAGAGTGACAGGAACCAACCTGAACTTTCAACTCAGTGGACAATGGTTACTTTTGTGCCAGGAACAGAGCAGAATCCCAGGCCTTATTACCCACATGGGATGATGCCACTCAGCAGCATGCAGAAGGCATTAGTGCAGAATGGAAAGACGTGTGAACCTGCTGCTGACACAGCTGCTACGTGATCCAAAGATCACAGTCACATATGACACCTTCCATTGTAACCTCAAGGATGGAAATCGGCTTTAGGTAGGATTCTCCTAAGAAAGAGATTAGCCTTGGAAAAGGGCTATTTCCTTTAAATAAATGTGTATCTAGCCACTGATTGCTGTAGCCAGAGGTATCTTCAGAGGGTAGCACTCTGAAGTGGAATAATGACCTTGTTCAATAACTGAACTGAGCACAGAAATGCAGAGCTACGTGCAGAGGTTACAGCAGGTCTCGGACAGGATTTGCAGTTAAATGAGATTTAAGCAGTAATAAAGGCGTTCCTGTTAAGAATGTGCAGTGACATTATAGTATACTGCTTTACAGCAAGAAAATATATCATATCTCCTGGATAAGGCAGGATCCATGCTTAGTGTCCAAAGGGGAGAATTAAATTAGTCTTCATGCAGCGAGAGGTGCCCAGCCTAAACGAAGCAGCATGCAGCAGACACGGCAACACTCAGGTTTTGAATCCCACACTGACTTCCAGGAATTGCTTTAGCTCGGAATCTTCTCACACGTGCACTCTGCAAAGCGGGAAAGGGCCCCGGGCGCGGCGGGGCCGGCGCGGCCCGTCCCCACCGGCGGAGCCGAGCCGGGCACAGGAACCGGGTCGCGAATCCGCCGGAGCCTCGGCGGCGGCTCCGCGCCCGCGGCGGAACTGACCTGCCCGGGGCAGCGGGAGCCGAGCCTGGCGCTGCCCCTCCGCCTCCCGCCCCGGCCCCGTCCCGCCGCCCCGGACAGACGCCGGCGGGGCAGCGCGGCCCCCCCGCCCGCCCCGGCGGGTCCCCGCGCTCACCTCGGCGGGGCCGCCCGCCCGCGGACATCGCCGCAGCTCGGCGCCGCCGGCCCTTAGCTCGGCCCCGGCCCGGCCCCAGCGCCCGCCCCGGCCCGCCCCGGCCCGCCCCCGGGAGCCCGTTCGGCTCGGCACAGAGCACCCGCCTCTGCCCGCAAAAAAAACACCGACCGTCGCTGCCGAGCCGTCCGACGGCGGGGAATCGTCACGGGGAAGGGGTGAGCGCTGAGCGAGGTTCAGCATAGAGAGGCCAGCGCTGCTCTCGCACACGCAGAAGAGACGAGCAAACGCAACATTCCTGCCCCGCCGGACCCTCCCCTGTCCCAGCCGCACCCGCAGAGCTCGTACCTGGGCTGCACCTGCTGAGCTCCTGCAGGAACGTGCGCGTGTGGGAGCCGAAGGGCAGCCGCACGGTCAGCCGGTCCTCTGCTGAGCTCATCTGGACAGTCACATCAGAGCCTGAGGACATCAGGAGAAAGAGCTCCTGTGGGTCGTGCTGCCAAGCCTTCAGAAACCGAGCGTTTCTCCACTCTACACTGGTGGATGCACACGTGCATGCAGCCTTCGGCAACATCTCCCCATGATGCCTTAACATGTTCCTTTCCAACATTTTACATGAGAATGCCATTTAAAAATATAAAGGCGACCATTTATAATAATTTTTATTCTGCTCGTTCAGTGACAATAATTAATCTTCCAGCAGCAGTTTAAAAGCGTTTGGAAAAATCATTCCCTTGGTTGAATGGGGCTGACAATGCTTGTTAGCACTAAGTAACCGTGGCCAACAGCACGGCAAGTGCCCCAAGAGGAGCAGGACATCAATCCCTGCCCTGGCAAGCCCCCCCAGGACAAGAGCCCCCAGTCCTGCCTCACTGTTTGCAGCTGGCACAGGGCCCAGAGTGCCTGTAACACAGGCACTAAAAACAAGCACAGAACTCACCAATGATGTGACGGTCACTGTCAAGTACAACTGCAAAAGTAAAACAAAGTTCAGTTGAAAGCTAAGCAACAGATTTGCAGACTGTGCTGATACTCTGAGGTCAGGGAGCTCAGCAAGTTCCTCCAGCCCCAAACACTCCTGGCAGGAACAGAGCCAGCAGAGCGAACCTGCCAGGCAGGGGCCATGGCTGGGGCCCGGTGGGACACGGGTGCTCTGAACCTTGAACAGCCCTGCCAGCAATGCCATGTGACACAGGGCAAGTGTCACCAGGGATTACAAACTAAAGAAGAAATGTGAAGGCAGAATAGATTCCAAACTTAAGGAAGTAGAACAACAAAGTATGGGCTCCAAACCCCTCCATCCTCTTCTTTGGAGGTGGCCACTGAGCCACCACAGTGTGTCAGTACCTTCTTCCACTGCAAACCCATCTGTGATGGGGATTACTCTCTCCAGCCAGACATCCTCAGCTGTGATGGCCATCCGACGGTGAGTGTACACGTAGATCCTGCAAGCACGGAGCCGACATGGAGGCAAAGATTCCTCAGTTCTGGCATGTCTGCAGGCAGTCACAGACCCCATCCCACCAGCAGCACCTGCTAGCGTAGCCTCATGCAAACCCCAAAGTAACTTCTCAACCATGTACCACCCGCCTGCTCACCCCATCACTTAAATAACGTGTTCACATTACTGGCAGAGCAGAGCAGCTCGTCGGCCTGGGGTTTCTTACTAACCACCCATAACATCAAGGCATCATGCCTTCAAACGGCTGCCCTACGGGACCGCCCCCGGGGGGAAAGCCCTTGGGATGGGAGGGGGTTCTCAGGCGGCTCCCGAGGCTCGTGAGGGACCCGCAGAGCTCCCGCGTCTCTCGGATGTTCTCCCCGCCCGCCCCGCTCCGGTACCCACGCGTGCTGCCCGCGGTGCTCCACCAGGCCCAGCAGCCGGCTCTCCGCGCTCTCCCCCGCAGACAGGAGGCCCTGCACCGCCTGCGGCCGCGGGTCAAGGAACGGCAGGACAGCGGCAGGGAGCGGGGACAGCGCCAGAGGGCGGCGGCGACAAACCGGAGGGAGCAGGGAGAGGGGCCCCCCCGCCCCGCACGGCTCCGCGCCACCGGGGCCCGTCAAAGGATACGATCCGGCAGGTCTCGCCCCCCGCCAGGCTCTCCTGGATGGCGACCGACTGGTCCATCTCCGTCCCGGCAGCGGACGGCGCTCCCCGGGGCCGGGACTCGGCGGCTCCCGCGGCGGCGGCTGCGCGCTCAGTGCAGCTGAGCGAAGCGACACGAAGCGACACGAAGCGACACGGTGCGACACGACACGGGGCGACACGAAGCGACACGGCGCCCCCGGACTCCCCCCAGGCGGGGCCGGGGCCGCTCCGTTATCGCTCCGCGCTGGGACCGGCCGCGGGCGGGGCTCGGAGCCGCCGGAAATAACGGGGCGGGAGGGTCGCGGCCGGGCACGGGGGATGCGAACGGCGGGAGAGGCACGGCCTGCGGCTGCCCCTCCCGGCAGGACGGGGAGAGGGAGAGGAGGAAGCTCTGGGATTGGCAGACGTGGAAAAAGTTAATTTCCAAGGAAAATCCCGAGATGCCCTTTTTAAAGTAGCAGCTTGAATTATTTTTTGTTGAATTTCAAGACAACCCAGCACAGGAGCCAACTTCTAAGCTGCCGGGTTATTATGCAAATAAATTAGTACAGAGTGTGGGAGTAGATGCTGTAAAATGTCACCGGTCTTTTGTACTGTAAAGACAGAGCTTGGCCGAAATCAGCCCCTTGCACAGATATAGGGGATGTAGGTCCAGAGACAGAAAATCCGAGTGGTCTTTATCAGTGTCAGCTCTGCAGCTGTCCATAATGGACAAGAGAACAGTCTGACATAGCTGCTGTAAACACCAAACCTTCCAAGAGACAGGGTGGTGGGGGATGTTTTTGAGATAGAAGAACCCTAGTTTTCAGACTGTTTTCACTTGCCATGGGTACACTGACATTGTGGCCTGAAGCAAACTAAAAACACGCCCTGTGGTTTTGCCACACCAGAAGAGGAGCTGTAACTTAGGGAGGGCCAGCTGTGGTACCGTGAGGCATTTTCCATCCAGCCCCACATCCGCTTCGGCTGCTGCTCGGGTGGCAGCGCCGCGTCAGGGCTGGCAGTGACCGTCGGGGCTGGCAGTGACCATCGGGGCTGGCAGTGACCGTCGGGGCTGGCAGTGACCGTCGGGGCTGGCAGTGACCGTCGGGGCTGGCAGTGACCGTCGGGGCTGGCAGTGACTGTCGGGGCTGGCAGTGCAGAGCCTTCCTGCTGGGAGAGCACACAAGGCTCCCGAGGGCCCAAACTGCCCAGCCCAGCCCTCCCACAGGTCACACCATGCTCAGCCACACTCAAAACACCAGCACAGACCAGAGGGCTGATACACAGACTTTAATATTTTGCAATCTTTTCTCTAAGGAGCCAGCGGCAGCAGAGGAGAGCGGTTGCAGGGGACAGCACCATGGACGTGTGTACAACTGGGAGCACCTTGACTCCTGGGAATTCTGCCCAACCAGCTCTGCACCAGCTCTGTGTCCTGGAAGAACAGGATGGGCAAGCACTGGGGGTGTTCATGTTGCAGGCTCACATCTGGGCTCTGCCTTTAGCAACAGAGAACCACAGATGTGAAACAAGATCATCTAAAACATGAGACACTTTTAGAGTAATCCCATTTTCCTGCCTAGGACTTGGAGACAAAACATGGAGTTACCATTTTACCCACCCAGGCAAGAGGCATTTCATTGCCAGAGCAGTTCAGAACTAAACTGCTCAGAACTAAACAGGTCACAGGGGGTCCAGGGAGGCTGCACCACAAGCAGGTCAATGACTAGAGGAGCCCTTGTGCCTTCAGTCAAGGCAGAATTTTCTGATTTTTAAGGAGGCCTAACACCTCGTTCCTGGTCCCTCATTCCAGCAGCACGGAGGCACACACTGCACAGCTCTCAAGATCCACAATTAGTTTGCGGGTCTCTCAGGCCTACAGGATTTGGGCGGGGCAGGGCAGAATCCCTCCTGTAGCTTTCTGAGTACAACAAGGATGTGACAGAGAGTGTTTGATAGTGGCCTTGGCTGAAGTCAGAGAGCAACAGGATCCTACCGAGCGCTGTGGAGCTCTGCTGCAGGAGGGCAGGCTGTGGAGCATCCCGACAGCTGCCTACCCCTGGAGGGAAGTGAAGGCCCTGTAATTCAGAAGAAGGACCACACCACATGCCATGACCTTCAAGAGTGGGGCCAGTGTCACCTGCCCAGCGCTATTGACATGAATTTTGCCGTCCAGTTTCAGACAGCTGGCTTTCGGGGTGGCTGGGCAGCATTCCTGGTAACAGGCAGCCTTCATCCCACTGGCACAGACTGGTTTGGCAGCCTTGCAGGCTTTGCTACATCCTGCCATGTAATTCAAGCCCGTCCTCTTCATCTGGAAGGAAGAGAGACACATTAGCCTAGGGGTCATGTCAAGCCTTTGGTACTCGCATTACAGGAACACAATGGCAGATCTGGGGCTGTCCTGCTTTGCAGCCCCAGGCCTTACCTCACAGAAGTCCTGCCCCAAGATGCATCTAGCAACGGTCTTCCTGCCTTTGAAACACCCATCCCCGTGACAGGAGAACGCTGTGCACACTTTCCCCTACGACAAAGGACCAGGGGAGACACCATATATCCATCAGACTCTCACTGCATTTCAGTCAGCCCTTTGCTCCTGAGGGCTCCTTTTCCACCCCCCTCTGTTCTTCATTATTTGTGCTGTATCAGGCATTTTAGATCCAGAGAAAAAAGACTATCAGTGGCCCATCTGAAACCAAAGGGAACTACTGCAACACTAGCAGAGCAAACATGTTTCAAGCCTCCTTTTCCTTCCTCTTAACAGGGCTCTGCAAAGATAAGCACCTTCCCTGCACTAGACTCAGGAAAGGGCTGCAGAGTTCGGTGGGTCCTGTGCTCTCCCTGCAGCTGCAGGAAGGCTCAGCCATGCAATCAAGTCAAACTGCCTGAGCTGATGCAAGTGCTGGGCTGGGGATAAGGCCCGATGGACAGGGCTCCTTAACGACTCCTTACTTCCAATGCCCATTTACGATTTGTTCCCCTTCCAGAGGTAGATTTTGACCTCATAAAGCAGATGCAGGAGGGACCTTTCCCTGTTTCCTGCTCAGGTGAGAGCTCAGCTGTCCCAGCAGCCACAGCCCCCAGAGAGCCCCAGGAGCTGCAGCAGCCTCTGCCCAGGTAGTACCTACATTTTGGGCGGGAGGTCGGTGGGTGGTGTTGGTGGTCCTGGGTGGAGCAGTGGTGGGTGGCAGGTCACCTGCAGACACACAAAGAGCCCTGTGAGGCTGCACCCAGCACACAGCCCACACAGGGCCCTCCACAGCAACACAGGGACAGATTCCCCAGTGCAGCTCATGCTGCGGCCAGAGCTGGTGGGGCCACCCTGTCCCTCCCCCAGCTCCAAGGACAGAGCGAGCCCCAGGGCAGAAGAGACACAGCGATGTAGCCACAACCCCTCTGCAATGGGCTCTGCCCACCCGTGCCCCTCCTGTGCCGCAGAGCAAAGCTCGGCTGTTACCGTAGGTGCTGGCGTTGAGCTGCAGGCACAGCGGGGTGGCACAGCACTCCAGGGCACACTGCTGCCTGCTCTCGCTACCGTTGGTCCTGCACAGCCCCACACCACAGCTGCTGCTGCACCCGGCTGTGTAGTTTGTGCTGGAGAAACGATAAAGCTGCAACAGCAGAGTCAAAGGATGAAATGAGTGTGAAGAGGTGCCATTACAAAGGAGCAGAAATAACTGACAGATTGCCAGAGAAAGAAGGGAAACAGGAGATGGACACAGACTTAAAAGAGCACTGTAGATTGCTGAGATAAAGAAAGGGAGAGGTTTCCCTATTGCAGCCCCCCTGCATCGCCATACCTCACAGTAAGTCTCATTATGGCAGGTGACTGTTCTGTTGGAATGGGCTTCATCCTGGTAACACCTCTCCCCGGAGCACTGAAAGCTCTGGCAGGTGAGCTGGAGGGAGAACATACCAGGGTGTCACCATGTAGCGAAGCCTCCTTGCACAGCACCACGGGGCTGTCCCCAGCCACAGCCTCACTGTCCGGAGGGGCCACCCCCATCTGCCCATAGTGCTCCCCTTCCTCCCCAGGAGATGCTCCCATGGCACTCTGGCTGTCACGATAGACCAGCTGGGCGAGAGACACTGTAAGGCTGCAATGGCCCAGAAATGCCCCTCTTTCCATTACTTTCCTTACCACTGTCTCTTGTGCACAGAGGTGTTGGTGGCCACTGAGGCATTGCCAGTGGAAGCCACCGAGGTGTTGCTGGCAGTGGCCACCACCAAGGCATTCTTGGTGGCCACCTCTGAGGCATTCTTGGTGGCAGCCACCACTGCAGCATTCTTGGTGGCCACCAGTACAGCATCCTTGGTGGTGGCCACTGCTCTGGCATTCTTGGTGGCCACTGCTCTGGCATTCTTGGTGATGGCCACCACTGTGGCATCCTTGGTGGTGGCCACCACTGTGGCATCCTTGGTGGTGTTCTTGACAGCTGTAGTCACCACTGAGGCGTTCTTGGTGGCCACCTCTGAGGCATTCTTGGTGGTAGCCACCACTATAGCATTCTTGGTGACCATTGCTCTGGCATTTTTGGTGGCCACCACTGTGGCATCCTTGGTGGTGGCCACCACTGTGGCATCCTTGGTGGTGGCCACCAGTACGGCATCTTTGGTGGTGTTCTTTACAGCTGTAGTCACCACTGAGACGTTCTTGGTGGTCGCAGCAACCCACAAGGCATTCTTGGCAGCCACCACGGTGCTGTTGGCAACTGTGTTATGCTCTGAAAGACACAAAGTTCCCCTTTGGTGAAGGAAACAAGGAAAAACACCCTCAGCAAGCCCAGTGCCCTGTCCTGAGCCACAGCATGGACCTGTGGGAAGCATCTGTCCAGCTGTGGTTGGGAGGTGGATGGCAGTCAGTGACAGGATGTCCCAAACAGAGGCTGTTTGCAGCTACCGACCGGGCAGCTCCAGAACCAGGTCAGAGCCAGCAGCCCCCTGCAACAGCACTATGGACAGATGTTACAATAGCCTCTCTCCTCCTTCCAGCCATGCTGCCTGGGAAGAACAGGCTTTTCCAGGGGCAAAACCTCAAGGAAAGGTTCTCAGTGCAGCTCTGTCCTACAGAACACAGCTTGGAGGTGAGAGGCACAAAGTCCCCATTGCACCACACTGCCTTTGCCCCACTTCCCACAGGCCCACAGATTTCCCTTGAGTACAGAGCTCACCTGCTGGGGCAAGAGAGTCCTGGAGACGGATGTGTAGAGCCAAGATGCAGAGCAGCAGGCCTGGAATGGAGTGGGGATGGCTGAGACCACCACATCTGCTGCCCGCTCTACAGCCCAAAGAGCCTCCCCAGCAGCAAGGCAGCCTTGAAACAGGTGAGCAGGGATAGTCCCCACCCTCCCAGAGCCCCAGGGGGCCAGTGGCCACCCCTTGTCCCAGGGAGGCCTCTGGCACAGCCCCAACAGCTGGGGCAGGGGCAGACCCAGGATGGGGGATGGACACCCTCTCGGTGCTGCACCAGAGCCCCTGTTACCTTGAACAGGCGGGACGAGCCATCGGCGACCGGCCATCGTCATCCACTGCGGCTGCACCCAGACCTGGCAGGAGGACACGGTCAGAGCTGCCCCCCGAGGTGTGGGGCAGACACCCCAGCACAGCTCTGGGCTCCACCTCCAGGGCTCAGCCCCAGTCGCTCCCTCCTGAGAGACTCCCCAAACTCACTGAGGCCGCTGCCGGGGAACAGGAGCCCCGGGGAGCTGCGTGTGCTGTTGGTGTGGCAACAACCCTCCCTGGGCCTCGCAGGCAGCACAGACCTGCAGGCAGCTGCGGGAGCAGGGTGCAGGCTGACACAGTGACACCTGCTACCACACAACAGTTTGCTGATGCTGCTTCAAGTGAAGATGTGGCCTGGCTCTCCATTCTACCTTCTCTACTTTCATTCCAAATCTTTACCTGTTTATCTAAGGAAACAGCAGATTTGAATCCAAACAGGCTCCAAAGCCAAGTTCTCCAAGAACTGTAACATTCCCCTCCTGTTTTATGATCTAGGTTGAGTCACCATTCCCCCAGGACCTGGAGTGGCCAAAGCTTGTGCAGAGACCTCCGAGGCCATTCCCTCAGAGTGACGAGGAAGACAATGCCAGCTGGTGCCTCTCACCTTCCAAACGAGGGCAGCCACCACTCAGACCAGCTGTGGACACCCCTACTGAGCCCAGCGCCACTCCAGCCTAGCACCAGGGCAGGCAAGGAAACAACAAGGAACCCACCTGACACGGCCTCATCCCAGGAGAACAACCTTCCCCCGGGGAAGGAGAAGAGCCCACGGCACTGACTCACCTGTCTGCCTGTTCCTGCACCTGCAGCTGCTGCCAGCACTGGAGAACCTCTGAGCAGGTGCTGTGGCACTGGCCCTGCAGCCCAGCCCCACCCCTGCCAGCCACCACCCGGGGGAAGTGTCCCCTGTGGCTCCACAGCAGCAGAGACGCAAATGGCCCTGCACAGCAACAGAGAAAGGGCTTATGAGGCTGGAGATGTCACATGAGCCACCACTGCACCAGAGGGGCTGGGCAGCACAAGGACTGCCACTGTCACATGTGACACGTGTGGCCTCTGCACGATGGACCTGCAATTCCCGAGGCAGCACGAATCTGTGGGGTATGTACAGGCATCTCCAAGCATGGCACTGGGGGCCAAAGGTGCTGAAGTCACAGCAGTCACCTCTAAATGCATCATCTGTTCCCATCTCCATCCTCCTGCACCACAGAAGGATCTGCACAAGAACCTACCTGGCCCTTCAAGCCAGCAGCAGCGTCAGAGAAACCACCATGCACTGTCCCCACAGCCCCAGCTGACCCAGCTCACTTGGTGATTCCCTGAAAAAACACAGTGGCTAAAGCTCCCCAGGGAGACAGACCCAAGGTAAAAGCAGCCCTTAAGCCAGGTGAGTTTGTTTTGCAAAGGAGCCCAAAGAAAACCACACGCTCACAGCCAGATCTAGAACACCTGTCGGCACAGTGTCCAAGTCCATGTCAACCCTCACCATAAACATTCCATCAGAGTGGGAGTGAAAGAATTGTTTATGACAGCTCTAACTGTGTAAAAAGCATTTTAAACACGTAATAAAACCTCTTCCTTCCACGATACAAAAGGAGACAAGTCTCTCGGCACTTCCTAAATTAAAATGAGTTTATTTTTCAAGGTATTTTCGAATATAAAACAATCTCACAAGTCTGCTTTTCACAAGGGGCTTACTAGAAAGTGATTATCTATAAAGTATCATTTTAATCTATATTCATGCACATACAAAATCCAGAAACAGGAAGTCAGAGCTGCTGCCACATCCACTCACTGCACAGGTGTGGGATCCTTCACCTGGGCACAGCTACAGCAGCCCTTGGCGCTTCAGGTCTTCATAGGTCTTTTTATTCACGACGTTCCCACTGGAATCTTCATATTCCTCCTGGAATGGAACCAACAGTTTAGAGACATTGGGTACAGCCTTTGAATTGTAGCTCCAGCAGAAGCCACTACACATGAGCACCCTGCCAGAACCTCTGTGCAGAAAGACAGGCAACAGATCTGCCAGCAGGTCCTGGCAGAAAGAGCTCATCCAGAGCTGGAGTCATTACAGGCTGTATTTCCCACTGTTGCCCTGCACACTGTTGAAAAATGGCTTGGGACAGAAGCTTAGGAAAAGGCACCAGTGTAAGCAAGGACAGTGCTCCCACACGGGAATGGGAGGGTCCCACAGAAACGGGACTGGAGGCACTGAACAGCTCTCACTGCTCACCTCTGTATCGGGCTGCCACCTCTCTGAAGCCTTCTGCTGTTTCAGCTTTGCCCACACTGCAAACACAAAGTCAAACAGGATCTGATGCCATTTCCCTCGAGGTACTTGTTTTTAATCCAGTAAAATACACACATGAGCTTTTTTCCCCCCCTTCTTCTAAAACACTTCAGCAGTCCAGGAATGTACCTAACATCCATTACAAAGTTATAACTCCCGTGTGGTTACAGAAAGGCACAGAATTGCAGCAAACAAGGCTTTAAAGTGATAGTTCAGGATAGGACACGAGACCAATGTCCAAACCCACCCCTTCAGAAAAGGTGGTGTTCTCTCACATGTTCCCTGTTCTGCCATCACTACTTACATGAGACTGCATCCTCAATCTGTGTGACGTTGGCAAAGTGTGCCGTGTTGGGAATGCCCAGGCACCGCATCCCATGGGCATGTCGCCACTCCTGGTGGGGGGGAAGAGATGAGAGGTCAGCATGAGAGGGAATGACACGTCCTTCACAACACCAAAGACCACAAAGACATTAACATCTGAACAGGGTGTAACAAATACTACCAAAGTACAAATCTACCAGTCCTAAAAGGTTCTATAGAAGTATTTTTTTCCTGTACTGTAGACAGTGACACGACAGCAGCCATCGACAGGCACCCTGCACCCATCAGACCTGGGCACTCGAAACGGTGTTCAAATGAGCAGGGACTGTTCAGCATCAGCACAAGAGATCTCGGTGTGCCCTACACAACCTATGGATCCCACTGCACGGCCCTGACCCCCTGTCAGAAGGGGCAGAATTGCTAGCTGGGGACCCCAGGGCCTCCCAAGTGACTCATTACAAGGACTGTATGAACCCAGCAGGGCTGTTCCTGCAGCGAACGTCACTTACTGCAAAGTGCCGCTGGAACGCCTTGGGCCCTCGGTAGGTGTAGTTACCACAGATCTCACAGTTGTAGTTGATGTTTAAACCATGGAGTTTATACAACCAGTACGGGATGGGCTGCAAGCGAGGAGACAAGAGGATGAGGATACACAAGGATTAGGACACGTGGCAAAGCAGCTCAAACAGGGGAGCAGCGTGGAGTCAGTGACCCCTCCCACTTCTCCAGGCCTGACGGTCTCAGTTACCTTGCCATCCCAACCAAGAGGCAGATTTTTAGGGTTATAAATGATTTCATTTTCTTCATCTTCACTCTCACTCTCACTGATCTGCTCTTCCTCCTCCTCCTCCCTCTCCTCCCCGGTCCGCGCCTGCTTACGCTGCACGTTCTCATGGGTGAGGTGTCTCTGTTCCTGGAGAAGAGAAGGCATTGTCCACACACTGTGACAGCAACAAAGTCGGGGCAAACTCCTGCAGTGAGAAACTTTCTCAATGTACAGAGGGAGGGAATGGAAGACCAGTATGAAGCACAGAACTCCCACCTTAGCCAAACAACTTCTGTTTTTAGTACCCTGACATTTCCTACTTGCCAAAAACAAAAACCTTGTACCACTGTTAGCACTTCTGAGGTGACAGGTAGCAGCAGCAGCCACTCTGCTGAAAACAATCCCCTCACACCAAAGGCAGGCAGCAAGGCAGAACAAGTAAAGGTTTGCAATACCGTGTGACTTAGGCACAAAATAGATGTGATGCACCACACTGATGTGGTGCTGTCTTTGAAAGCACTGGGTAAAGATGTGGATGACCTTCCAGTCACTATTTGACAGCTCTGAAATAAAAAGCTCAAAGAAAAAATAAAATCCTTACCCCAAGAACTTCTACATACTCATAAATCTGAGCTTCCAGGAACGCCAGATCTTTATTTCTTTCAGTGTCTCTAGAAATAAACAGAGTAACTTTATGCAATTCACAAGTTCAGCTCTGATATCTTCCATTTGGTTCAGCACTATTTGGTTCGACATGAGAAGCTTCTAATCTCTCTGTAACAACTACACAAGAGTGGCCACTATACAACACCCCTCATCCAAGAGGAGAGGACACCACTAGCCTCAGAATGATCTCTAAGAACTCACCTTTTGCTTCCTTTTGTCTTTGGATTCTTAGCAAACAAGGAAGGATCAAGCGCTTCCAAGGATTTGCCTTTAGTGCTAAAAAGCCTCTGAGCACGCTCCTCCAGAGTCCTAGAGAGAAGCAGGGAGGGGATCAGTCCAGACAACAGTTTTACATTTCCCAAGAACTATTTGAATCCATGCAACAAAATTCTAAAGGTAGCTTTTATGAAATCACAAGATTCCTATTATCTTTGCCTTCCTTCCTCAAGCCAAAGTCTTCTGTATCAGAGACTCCAGTATAGGACCTGGTCAGAGCAGCAGATCCCAGAACCCGCTGCTTGGTTCTTAATGTTTTACCTTTCAAACATCACTAAGGTAATTCTAGTACACCAGAGATGACCAAACAAGTATCCCAGAAAGGAATGTGAGACAGGAAGACCTCAAAAACTTAAAGGAACTCTACAAAGACTGCACCTTACCCGCCACACTTCAGCCCCAGGGCCAGCAAAGCTGATTTTAACCTGTCCAGTCCCAAGGAGGCCAATTCCTGTTCAATTAAATAAACCACTGTAAGAGATGATCTGTTCAACACATAAAATATGGATATAGCCCATTTTAGCTCATTAAAGAAGAAAAAAGCCTGATGAAAAGGACTGTCAAGGGTGCACCCCTCCTCACTGGAAAATGAGGCATGTGACAAATCTAACCAGGTCTTTCAAGCTACATCCCCCAACTGGAGAAGTTAAATCATCAGTATCATCGAAGTTTTACCCAGAAAGCACAGAGCCAGGAAGGAAAGCACTACAATTATGCAAAGAAACCAAATGACTGAGCTTCCACCTGCTCCAAATGTGGTAGTAAGTGCAGAACACTGGAAACGCACCTCCCAGGAGGAGAAGGCTGAGAGGTCCAGGTGGGCGCCGGCATGGGTGAGGGCACTGCTGGTCTCTTTCTACCGAGAAAACCACATGCAAGAGCTGCATGACATCCCACAAGGCTTCAGGCCACAGAACATTTTAATCTCAAGAAAAACAGTTCATTTCACAGAGAAAAATCCCCTCACTAAACTGAAAAGGGAACAGTAGTAAAGATGCAACATACGCCAACCTGAAAGGTTCATTTCAAACCAGTTGTGCTGGGTTTCAAATTCAGGTCAGTACCACCCTGCAGCCTGGTGACACAGAGCTGCAACTGGGTCAGGGTCACCCCACCAATGACTTTACACAAATGACTCACAGGAACCCCTCAAAACCACAGAACATCTCCCAGGCTCAGGCTGCTCACCGGCCAGCCCGGGAACGTGCCATTCTCCCACTTTTTCTCAAACTCCGTCTGAATTTTCCCAAAAAGTTCATTCTGGTCCAGTAAGGGTTTCACTCGATCTGTGTAATCCTGCAGATACTCCAGGAGCATTTCAAGGTACCTGGCAGGGGAAGCACAAGCACAGGTAATTCACTGTCACGCTCTACCCACATCTTTGGACTAGTCACTACCCTCCAGCGCTGCAGAGGGAGGTGACCGAGGTCAGGACAGTTTTCCACACAGGATTTCTGGGCACAGCAGTTAGGAGGGTACAGGCAGGCCCTTCCTCAGAGCAGAATGAGGCTCTCCACATCTCTGCTGCACTGTGTCTTTGCCTGGGGCTCAGACACACAGTTGAGCTCAGGGACCCAATTTACGGGAGTTAATCATAATCTCACCAGCTGAACACTTCAGAAGTAAATTCCTTCTCACCAACTGCCATAAAGGAAGCAGGCAAACAGGCTCACCTTTTATATTCAGCATTTTTTCTCTCCTTAGGAATATCAAAGAGTTGGTCGAATGTGGATAAGTAAGTGATATAATCCAATTTCTAAGAAAAAAAAACCTGAGTCAGAGTTCATACACACCCAAATTAACATCCAGGTCCCAGAACAGAGCATCCCCAGCCTGTGCAGGGCCTGGGGATCCCTAGACCCTGCCACACCAAGCACTGGAGGTGCCTAGACACAGCAGGCACTCACCTCTGACGATTTCAAGTTAATGTACTTGAGATAACAATCATGCAGATCCAAGTATCGTCCGTACCCTTCCTCATCTGTGAACTCCACCAGATCTGCAGGAAAGATCATTAAGAACTTTATTATGAGCTTAATATTTCCTACTTATTATGCAACTGCTTTAGAACTGGAAAAGGATTAGCCGTGAACTCGTTTATGCTTAAGGAAGGCATTACAATGCCCTGGACATTCATTGATCAGCCCCAATTGCTGCTCTGTGCAAGCACCAGAATGTTCCTCAGGAGCAACAGCACCACTGGGGAACACTCCAGAGACTGCAGTTCAGAAGAACTGCAATGAGAGAAGAACAATTTTCAGAAGTCGTTTCATAAAAGGGAGGTGGGGCCCTGAAATGTGCAAAACAGATCAAACAACCCATTAGATAATGCCAGAGCTCGAGCAAACTACACACTTACTCTGAGCTTCTTCACTCGGGTTGTCTCTGGCCTTCAGCAGCTCCTCAAATTCCACTGACATGGGAACACAGATCTGCAGAGGCAGACACAAGTCACACAGTGATTTACTTCAGCTCCTGTCCCAGAACAACTAGTATAAAACCACAGGAGGTGGCAAACAATGAAACTGCGAACACAAAGGGAGCCCAAAGCACTTCTTCAGCTGTCCTGCACAAAGGTGTGTCTTTATCTAGCATGAGAAAAGTGAGCCCCAACCCCAGGCCAGCTGCAGGATGCTCCCAAGCAGGGAACACTGTGAGAGACCAGCACTGCTCCCCCTCACACGCTACCTGGTCCTGAGCAGCTTTGCTCAGGTGACAGCTGGGTGTTCCCAGGACCTGAGTGTTAAGGCGATTAAACTGGAGAAAACGAAAGGTCTGTTTCCTGCAGGGATGAGGCCCAACAGACCCCAGTTCACCTGTTGCTATGGAGGAGGTAATTACTCACCTCATTTGGGTGCTTCCGGTGAAATTCCTTAATTTGCTTCAGTCTGTTGTAAAACTCCGCAAATTCATTTGGCCCAGAAATGGCACTGAGCTCTTCCTTCCGCAGGCTACGAGTTCAGAGACAGGGGCAGGGAAAACGAAGTGACACTGACACAGCCTTGGTCCAGGGCTGTGCTGCAGTGTCTGACTGCAAACCTCCGACTCCCGTGGGACTTCCCAGCCCACCCAGCTCAGAGGCTTAGGGCCATGTTCCCCTGCCCTGTTGCAGCCCCTGACAGACCCCCGGGGCAGCCACAGCCTCCCCACGACACAAAACGCGGGAGTAACAAACCGTCCCGTGGGCACTCGGGGTCTGCCCTGCGTTGAGTCCCCGGATCCCGATTCCTGCGTTACTCCTCAGGTGTTTACACGGACTTAAAGGACGCCCAATTTCCTCACCGGCAGGACACGCTCAGGCACACGAGGGCCCCCGGGCACACTCACCCATCCTTGTCGTCGTACAGGTCCCGCAGGTTGCCGCTCACCTCCATGTACCTCTGCGGGACAAAGGGAAAGCCCCGAGCGCCGCAGGGCCCGTTACCTGGGCGGACTCCGCAAGGCGCCGGGGGCCCGGCCCGCCCCCGCTCCCGTTGCACTCACGTCCTGCATGGCCCGGGTCCGGTGGTCCGAGTTGATCTGGTCGCGGAGCTGCGGGCAGAGAGGGGCAGTGAGCGGGGGAGAAGCGGGCGGTGAGCGCGGCCCCGGGCGGCCACCGCCCCCCTCCCCGCGGGGCCTCCCCCGGGCGCACCGTGGACTTCTTAGTGAGCATCTCCTTCACCATGACGTCCATGAGCCGCTCCCGCTCCTCGTGGTAGCGCCGCTGCTGCTCCAGGATCGTCTCCATCGCGCCGCCGCCCCGCGCCGCCGCCGCCGGAAGGCCCTCGCGCGGCCCGTGTGTGCCCGCCGGAAGGCTCCGGCCCCGCGCGCGCCCCGCGCGAAGGTTCCGGCCGCGGCGCCCCCCGGTGCCCCCCTCAGGCCGCAGGCTCGCCGCGGGACCGCACGCTTTGCCCACACTTTGCCAAATGCAAAGCTGTAATTAAATTTTAACTCGCCAATAAATTATTAATATTTTTCTGCCATGGGCGATAAATTACTTTAAGCCAAAATAACAACAACAAAATTTGTCTTAATTAATGGCAAAGATGATCCTTCACTGAGAAGATGATGTTGCAGTAAGAAAACCGTCTTTAATTACCCCCTTTCACTACAAGCTGCCCCCAAGTAGATCACTGCTTCCTCATGAATGCCTGTCTAAAAATAAAAAACAGAGATAAGATTCTGAACGTAGTGTTCTTCCATTTCCCTTTGCATGAAACCTCATCCCTGGAAAGGGAAGGAGTTGAAATCCAGTAATGTCCCATCCAGCCACATGACCTCCTTATTTTGGGCTGCTGGCATCGGGAGGGTCAAGGTGGGACAACCCCCGTATGGCCTTCCTCCTCCTCCTCCCCCTACTAATGGCAACACACCTGGGAGGAAGTGGGAGAGGGTTGGTCCAGGAGGTGCCATTCCATCCTGGGACAACCGCAGGGGCTGGGAGCTGGAATACATGGAATCACAGACTATCCCAAGCTGGAAGGGACCCACAAGGATCATCAAAGTCCAACTCTTGGCCCTGCACAGGACCCCCAGGTGGTGGCTTGGACCTGGTTCTGCCCATAGGGGCTGACCTGCAATGGTGGTGCAGGAGAGCACAACTCGGGCACATTTGGTGAATGCCGGGGCCTCTTTCTGCACCCCCCGTGCCGCCCTGCACTCTCAGTACTGCCCTGTGCCCCAAGTGCTGCCCCTGCACCCCAGCAGCTCCTCCACTCCTCCCTCCCCAGCACAGCAGCCCCAGCCCAATCCCCCTCGCACTGCTCCTTGTGTTTCATAAAATTTCCACGACTGTTTCAGACCTGCACTCAGGAGTCTCGGGGGATGTTTGTGCATGACATCACCCTCCCCCTTCTGTAAATCAGGCACTGGGCTGTGCACAGCCATGACCCATTCATGACAGGGATAAAATCCAGATGTTCCAGCGCTGTGCGCAGCTGGGTCATTTCCTTTTTTGGCTAAAAACGTGAGGCTCTGGAGGCTGACTGAAAGAGGAGCCCGGGGGCCCTTTGTACAGAAACCTTTTGTGGTTAATCCCTGGAAAGGGCGCTGCAGGAACCCTGGGCTGTGCTGCTGCCGCTGGAGGGCTCAGCCGGGAACCTCGGGCTGGGGCTGCTCAGTCACCCTTCGAGGCCCCGCAGCAGCACCAGAGCCCAGCGTGGGTCACAGGGCAGGAACAGCAACAAAAACCCTGCTTGAAAAACTCCATCAGCTGCCAGAGCGGGAGCCTCTAAGGCAGCCAGGAATGTGCCAGTGCCACAGGGCCACGTGGAGCCCCGCGGGCCGTGCCCGTCCTGTCCCTGCGCAGAGGGCCCGAGCAGGCGAGCTCAGGGGAAGCCGTGGCAGCTGTTAATAAATGTACAGGAATCTGTGGAAAATAGTTTCATATGTTAGGGAATAAATGGCTCCTGGGCTGACAAATGCAAGTAACAAGCACACAGTGTTTCAGGGAGGGCTGCCAGGAGGGACCACGGACACCCTGCTGAAGGCTCCAGCAACGTTCCCGGGCTGTGCCCACCACAGGGCAGGGAGGCTCCTCTGCACGACGTGACACGGGCGGTATTGAAGGGATCCAGCCCGGGGGCACTGAGGCATCAAGCAGTGCCCAAGTCCTGCTAGGGCCTGTCCTGCAGAACTGCCTGCCTGAACAGACAGCAGGCACAGACAGACAGGCAGCCCCAGGAACCCAGTGCAGCCCCACGGCGGGAGGAGGGAGCTGCTGTTCTCTGCCATAACCACAGGACTCTACAGCTGATGCTGGGCTGAGGTTTGGGAAGAGAGGCACGAGCACTGCAGAGGTTGGCTGTCCCCAGGATGGGACTTGGGGCAAGACAAGGCTGAGCAGAGCCCAGCACCAACTCAGACAGTGCTCTGCCCTGTGCCTGCTGTTTGAAGAGACACAGGAGAGCAAGTGTCACTAAAACAGTTTATTGTATAAAGCTGTAGGAAATACAAAGGAGGTTGAGATTTAAGGCAATTCCTTCTGGAGACAGCTCCAAGCTCCTCAGAATAGCAAACACACAAACTCCAATTTACTGGCATTAAAGCTTCCAAGGGTTCAACAAGGATCTGAATACAAAGTTAATAACACTTCAACATGCATAACATTTTCTGTTGCTAAGTGAAGCCTGGGTGGGGGGCTAGCCCCTTCATCCTGTAGTTGGGTACAAAATGACAGATATTCATGACAAATGAGTACAAAAGGGAAAAACCCCACAAGAACAGGCTTTCAGAAAAGCACATGGCTGATAAGCAGGAAAGCAGGGTCAGTGTAAGTGCCCCAGCAAGACAGAAGCAGAAAGATGTAGAGACAAGGCAGGCATGGGCATCCTACTGCAGAAGGGCCTGAGTGGGGCCCAGGGCCAGCTCAGTCATTGGGCAAGGATGGCTCAAGACATCCTATTTTGCACAGTTAGGGCCAGCACAGGGACCTGGGCTATGCAAAGCCCCCCCTCAGGTGCCACCTTTGCTTTGCTTCTCATTTGGGACACAGTGAGTGTGGCCGGGGGGAGCCTCCACTCCCTGCCCACTGCAGGGGGACACAGGCAGCCCTGGCAGGAGCAGGTTGTGGGCACTCCACTGCCCCCTCGGCTGCCCTACATGCTGCAGCCCTGTGCTCCCACAGACCCTCCCTCCTAGCACTCCCAGCAGCTCCCAAGAACGGCCACAGCCTGTGGGCAACGCTCCCCTCCCTGAATTAACAAAGGTCTCTGGTGTTCCCAGTGCCACAGGCAGCTGGGCTCCGTACACCAGTGCCCATGCCATGAATCCCCATGAGAAGGATAGATCAGGAATAAAGCCCTCAGTGCTCTCAGCCTTCAGCACACCCTTCTCAGGGGCTCAGTCAAGCATGTCTCAGGGGAGCAGCAGCAGGCCAACAGCCCCAGCTCCAGCTCAGCCACTGCAGCCATGGGAGGTCATGGCACAGGTGGATGGGAAAGGGGCAGGGAGGTGAGGGTGGGCCGAACACCCTGTACCTATGAGCAACTTGAGCTCCTCATTCACAGCTGAGAGAGCACCTCTACAGAGACGCTGAGCAAAGGGTCTTGCCTGCAAATGGTGAGGTGCTATAGAATTCCACAGGTGGATCCCATCTGGCAGGACAAACATGCTCTTCTCCTGGCAACACTCCAGTCCTCCCAAACGGAGCAGAGGACCCTTCATGCCCAGGTCAGCCATGCATATGGTGGTGGTGGTTACAGCCCTAACCCAGCACAGCTGAGCTGCACGGCCCTGCAGCCACTGCCTCATGTCACACAGAGTGAGAGAACCACGTGGGGAAAAGAGGGAAGTCAGCACTGTGCAGGGGGGCAAAGACATGCTGCCAGCGTGCAGATCCAGCAGCCCAGTGCAGAAGCTGCCCTTTACTCAGCTGGGGCCCTGGGCTCAGCTCGTGCCTGGTCAGACTGGAAGCAAAAAGAAAGAGTAAATAATGGGGGGTCTTGAAGCTCCTTTTTCAATTTTATTTAGCTTTGACTCTGCACAGAGCCATAGCATAGCGTACTCTAGCCTTCAGGGAGGGGGCTCAGGAGCCCCCTGAACACACCGCGGTTCGGGGCCAAGCCCCAATCTCCTGTGCCTTGTGCCTGGCCCCTGAAATGCTGCTGGGGGATCTGGCACAGAGGCCCTGAAGAACAGAGGAAGCCCTGCCCCGCGGTGTCCTTGGAGACTCATAGGTCACTGCTGCAGTCGCGGCACAGGATCTCATCTTTGTCAGGGATGAAGCCCTTCCCCACCAGCGAGGTGCTGCAGCGGGCACAGTTGAAGCAGTTGTGGTGCCAGTGACGGTCCTCAAAGGAGACATATTTGCCGCCACCAAAGCCTGCAGGAGGGACAAAGAGAGCAGTGTCAGAGCCCCTGGGGAAACTGGGCTGAGCTTTTCCCACAGACCGAGCCCTGGCCTGTTCATCTCTAGGCCAGGTCTTCACACACAGTGCTGGTGATGGCACCCAAACAACCCCCAGGACCAAATACATTTGAAATGCACATCTCCACTGTTGGTGTGGGGAAGAACACCAAAATCATTTCATAGCAGACTTTACAGGGTTGAGACATTTGGACCAGAATCACCTGGGAGGAGCAGGGATCTGCACCACCGCAGTGGACACAGGACAATGCTATTGGAAAGCTGGGAAGAGTCCTCCTGCCACCAGCCCAGGCCCAGGCTCCTGCAGAGGCTCCGCAGGAGCTTCCCTCCTCTGCTAGCAGCGGCTGGACTGGTGGGCTGTGACCCTCTTCTGCCCAGGACTGCAACAAACTGATAAGGACCAGAGGGGAAGTGGATGCTTGGGACCTGCCTGCAGCCAGAATCATCCTCTGAGTCACCAGCTGATTCATGGCTTCCCAGCAGCAACAGACTGGGAGTTACAAGGGGGAAGGTCAAGTGGGGAAGGGCAGGAATGAGGCCAGACTCTCTTAAGGGGTTCTGCAGGAGAGGATCCTCTACTTCCCCTGCCTTAGCAGGTCTAGACTCCCCTGCACCAGGTGCTGCTCCAGCTATGGCTGGAAGTCCCTGGCTTTCCTGATCTGTGAGCAATCTTTCCACAGGACATGGCAACCAATATCAAACAAGGCAAGCTAGAGACATGAGACAGTGCTTTGAGGGGTCACTTTGGGAGCCTTCACCTGTGGGCAGAGGGAATTGCTCCAATGGGACACAGCTCACCACTTTGAAAGATGCAGACGAAGGGAAACAAGTGGCCCCAGGAGCACTGCAACAAAGAGCTCCCCCCTCATGGGGTTCCTCAGAGAGCTGCTCTGCTCACCTGTGATGGGCTTTGTGCAGGCACTGCACTTCTTGGCATAGAGGTTCCCAAAGCACTTGATGCAGTACGGGTTGTCGTCCTGGGAGGTGAATTGCTGCCCAGCCAAGGGGGTCTTGCAGCCTGTGCAGACAAAGCACTCCTTGTGCCAGGGTTCGTCCCGGTAGGTCACTCCTCCCTTGGTCAGGGTCTGCAGGAAAGAGTGCATGCTGGTGACACACAGGCACAGAGAAACAGCCCAACTAGGGTGCTGGCACCTGAACCCTCCTCTGGTGGGGCTCAGGCAGGAGTGGGGAGTTCCCTGTCCCTGGATCAGAACTGGGGCTCCGGGCTGTCGGGCTATACGTACCTTTTTGCAACGAGTGCAACGAGGAGCGAACTTGCTCTCGTAACAGGGCACACAGTAATAATCCTTCTTGTCTGGGATGAAGGACCGTGACCCAATGGGCTGCTGGCAGCTGCTGCATATGAAGCAATGCTCGTGCCAGGTCTGTCCGTTGTACTCCAGCTTACGCGACCCTGCAGAGAGAGCCCTGCAGTGACAGAAGGAGCAGCACGCACACACGCGGGGGACACGGAGGGCTGGGCAGGATGAAAGGTGGTCCAGGACACCTGGCTCTGCGCCTGCCCTCACCATCGCAGTTCAGAACCATGGGCAGCTGGAGAAGGGGGCCCTGGGCCCACACCCCAGCCACAAGGGAGGGCTGTGGGAACACCCGCACCTGCACACAGGCCATGGCAGAAATGCCTGATGTAACCCACATTTGAAGATGGTGCCAGAATGGCCAAGCAAAGACACGTGCCTTTGCTTCAGGCCATCTCCAGAGATGCTCATGCACTTTCAGTCATTCCTTCTTGTCAGCACACAGCAGAAAATGCCCAGGAAACCCTTAGTTATCTCCTCCCCCGTTCACTTTCCCATGAAAAAGGGTAGCGAGAGATGGGACTGCTGTGGCGATTGCAGCTTTGAATCCTGCTGTCTTGCTGGACAATCAAAGGGCCCAGCCCTCTGTGTGCAGTAACAGGAAGGTAGGAGAGCAGAGATTTAGCTCTCTTCCTCGCTGCTCTTGTGCTGGACCTGCAGCCCCAGCCGACACCAAGGGACCAGGAAGGGACTGTAGCGCTCGAGTTTGCCCACTCCTACCTGGCATGACAGTCTTCTCGCAGGCAATGCATTTGGAGGAGAACTCGCTGCAGTAGCAGTCGTTGCACAGCAGCTCCTCGCCCTGGCAGGTGAACGGCTCGTCAGCCAGGGAGCGGTCGCAGCGGAAGCAGCGGAAGCAGTGCTCGTGGTAATGGCGATCCTCGTAGTACAGCTCCTGGGAGCACAGCGGGGTGAGGAGGGGACCAATAGCCCTGGGAACCGATCTGCTTGGCTGGGGGCCCTGTACTCACCCTGCAGTCGTGGCCAATCAGCTCTTTGCACTCATCGCAGGTGTTGGCAAAGTGGGCGTCGTAGCATGGGATGCAGTACGGGCCATTGTCCATCTGGATGTACTTGCGTCCATACAAGGACTCCTTGCAGTTGTCACAATCAAAGCACTCTGTCATGGTGCCGGTCTGAGGGCCTCCTTCACCTGCTGAGATCAGGGCAGGTGTGGGTCAGTATCAGCTTACACTGCCTGAGATGTCCCTGTGCCACCCTGCCACCTCCAGAGGGCAAGGACCGTGAGTCCCTGCACTGAGCCAACAGCCACCGTCAGGAAAGGGCACAGACTTGCACTGTGCTTCTGCTCTGGGGCTGCATAAACTTCCGAAAGAGCTGCAGACATCAGGGCCTGCAATGAGCCTTGTCTCAGGTTTATACTTCACAGCTGAAGCACTTCAGCACCGCTCAGAAAACCTGGACATGTCAACACACAGCTGAGCTCCTCACTGTTATCCTGGGAAGCAAAGTGTAAATAAGGACCAAAAGGGAGAAATTTTTTGCATTAAAAGTTTTAAAAGGCATCAAAACCAAGATCATGCACATGCCATGTGGGTGCATGTCCACTGCCACGTCAGAGAGCCAGGCACTCTCAGGGAGATCTGTCTGCCCAGCTGCCCTTCAGAAAGCCACGCTCAGTCCCCAGCAATGGCTCATGCCAGGATTCCTCCCAGTGGCTGCAAGCTCTCCCTGAGGAGCTGCCAGCGGCTCAAACCCTGGAACTTCTCCAGAGCTTTAAAGCAGCTGCTCCGCAGGGAAGCAGGAATCAGGCACCCCACACTGTGCCTGGCTATAGAGCCTCATCCCAGCAAACCAGCTCCAGCTACAAACACTCCCCAGGGAGAAGCTGTCAGGGCAGGTGCATGTTCCACAAGCAATAGAGCTGTTGGGGCTTTGCATGCATCTCTCCCTGCCCCTTGTCTCCCTCACAGACAACAGGTTTGTGGAAGTGTTTTGCTTTCTTTGGAGCACTAACTCCAGAACAACAGTACCTTCCTCCTGTTTAACCTGGTTATTCCTAAATATGGAGTTTTCCACTTGCAAAATCACAGCCTTCTTTAACCCAGGTTGCTGTCAAGTGTAGACAAGCCTATGGAATTACATCTGAGCCATCAGCTGCAGAGCACCCCACACTGCAGTGTTCTTCATGAACCCACCCACTTCAGAAAGAGCAATTATGGCTCCATCTGCAGATCAGCATTTAAGGGGCAGGGAACTCCCTGTCAGTCCCTGTTCCCCCTCCCCACAGGCTCCCTGGCCATAGGCTGGGAGGCAGCCTCCAGGGCAGGAGCCGATCCAGACAACTCTGACTCACAGCCCTGAGCTCCCTAGGGCTATTCTTGGTCAAGCCACACAGCTCCCAGCTGTTGTCAATCCTGGTATGTGCCGATAGGATTGCCGGAGAATAAATCCAGTGTTCCCACATGGCTACGTGACCAACTGAGGGGGAACAAAGTCCCTTTTCAGACACTGGTTCCCAGCTGCCGCCCGGACACTGCCCACTCAGTGCCCTCCAGTGTGGCCGGCACACGTGGCTGTGGGACCAGCTCTGCGGAGGGTCCCTGTGAGCAGCATGGGCTGAGGCCACCAAGCCTCCCCAGAGCCCCGACTGGCAGCCCCACATGCTGCCTGCAGAACAAGGCAATGTCCAGTCTATTACTGGAGGCGAGGCAGGCACACGGTGGTTTGCACAGCAAAGCCAGACGGGTGCTAGGGTGCTGAACTGGACCTGCTGCCCCAGCTCTGCTCCCAGCCTGGGCTGGCTCCCCTACTGTCCCTTCCCTCTGGGCCACCCCAGGAGGTGCTCCCCTAACCAGGCAGCAGCTCCCGTGCCCCCCCTGCCAGCTCCTGGCCACTTCTCACCCACTGCTGCCTCCTCTCCCATTCCACTTGCCTTCGTTCCCTGAAGCCACCTGGGATCTTTCTCTCTGGCAAAGAACAAAATGAAATTCCCAACCCTCCTCCTCCTCCTCCCAGTCCTGGTGAAGGAAACTTTCCAAGGTGTGTCTTTAATAAAAGGGCCACTCCTGCCCTAGGAGCTGTGGCACTGCCAGTGCAGGCGGCTTCCATGTTTGCTCAATGGGCTGTGCTTTAGCTCTGTGGTCCTGTCATACGGGCTCAGAGGACATCAGAAAACACAATGGAAGAAAAAGCAACCTGAATGGAGAAGGCTGGGGTTTTCCCAGTGACAGGGACTCAGCTTTCTGAGCATTGCTGCCCTGACCCTGACACTGTCAGAAGAGGAAGAAAACATAAACCCTCTGAGAACGAAGAGGACCCTAAAGCAGTAGATTGGGCTTGCCTCCACTCTGAGTAGTTTCTCCACAAAGTCTCCGTATGCCTGCTGCATGCTAGGAACTGAGTGCTGCTCCCCAGGCTGCCCCAGGAGAGGGCTGGGCTGGCAGATGCCCAGGCTGCAGCAAAGCCAGGCCCAGCAGCCTCATGTGGCCAAGGCTGCGGTGAGCACATATGGGAGCAGACTTTGCGCTGCCTTTTCCACAGAACAAGAGCAGGCCCAGGAAGTTTGCTCAGGGTTATTTGTATTAGATAAGCTGTTTGTTCCCTTTGTTCTTCTGGCCTCACATGTGGTGCTGGGCAGGGGTGTCAAAGCCCTGGGCAGCGCCAAAGCAAACGCAACATCTTTGCCCCTGTGGATGCGGCACTGCAAGACTCAGCGCACCGGGAAGAGGAAGAGGGCACAAAAGAAATGAAGGAAAAGAAATAGTACAAAAGCCTGCAATTCTTACTGTGATTGTAACAAGGAACCTGAAAGTTGCTTCCATTCGTGAAGGAAAGACGTGGAGTTTTAAAATGCATTAAAAACCCCTTTAACAGAGGCTCAGACGTGGAAGGTACAATACAGCTTGTCGCTGTAGTGCTAACGAACATGTGCTCATCCCACACCACCCTGTAAACATCAGCTGTACGCTGGGCTGATGTCAGGAACGCCTTCAAATGCTAACCAAGGTGCTGCCCTAAAATGATGAGCTTGCAGTTGCAAATAGTGTTTGGCCATTGCCAGATGGCTGTGGTCCTGGGGGATGAGGTCTGCTGAAGCAGGTCCCTTGTGCACAGGGATGGTGGAACTGCATGTGGGGTATTCCTCAGCTGTCTTGCTGGCTGTTGGAGGGCAAAAATAAACACAGATATATGCCTGCCAGCTGCTTACTCTTACTCTCTGACAGATATAATTGTGCTCATGGAGCAAAGAAAGTTCAGTTCCTCTCCTGTGCCCATGAACAAACAGCTTTGGGAACAAGAGCTCCACTCACAAACAACATTCAAAGTGCTCCAGGATGCAAATCTGATCAGTCTGAAGCAGAGCTCAGAATAGCCTCATGTATGGGAAAGGTCAGCAATTTGTCAAGGACGCACATCAAAGTCCACTTTCTAATTAGAGAGTGACATGCACCCAAATGACACCCCAGTCCATAGCCGATGGCTGAGGCTTAGCAAGAGCCCCAGGAGATCATTACATTAATTTTAGTGCTGGTAAACCGTGGATTTGTTTTGCAAAGGAGGCAGTACAGACAGTCCAGGGCCCAGCCTTCTGCTCCACGCAATCACTGAAGAGTTTACCTGGCCTTTTCAGATGGTTCCTGATACAACCAACTCCTTCAGTGCAGAGTCATGAGTGTGTGGTGAATCTCTGCCCTCGTGTAACTTCACACCAGTTTGTTGTTTGTTGTCAGGTCGCAACCAGCTGCTCCACAGAGTCATCCTAGAGCAACCCATTAGGCTATTCCTAGGGAAACACTTAATCTTTCCAAGACACAGGAATAAACCTGCTTTTGACTGTCTGTCAAGTCCCTGCCTATTCTCGCCTCCCTAGGGCTGCCTGAGCACAGCTACAAGCAGTTGCAGTTCACACCTAAACAGACAAGCTGAGGAAAAAGCACAGCCTTGCTGGGGCAGGCGAGTATTCCCCATGTAAGGATGAAACTGTTCAGGGACACGGCTTTGGAAGACAGTCCTCAGAGCGCTCCAAGGTCAGCAGAGGAGAAGAACACTTTTTATTCCTGTTGCCTTTCCAGAACCTTTATGGGTCCTGGAATCTGCATGAAATTGTTTCTGCCTGCTGCCGACCCTAAAAGGGAAACCAGCTGCTTGTTCTGAGGAACAGCTCCAGCCCCTCCATTACACTGGGAGCGTTTTCATTCTGTGTTTCCTGACACCTCTTCTGCGCAGGGTCACTGCATGTTCTGGCACTCTTGGGGGCTGGGGGGCCAGCTCTCCGGGGTGCTGTGGGTGTTTCACTGTACCTCCTCATGCTGCTGCCTGTCTGTACCCTGTTGCTCTGCTCCCAACCCACCAGCACTGCTCCATACCTGGTGCAGGTGGGTGCTGTTACAGGAGAGCTGGAGGCAGCTGGGCAGAGCTGCCCAGTGTTCCTTCAGGGTGACCCAGCCTGCACAGGGCACCCTTGGGAGCTGTGTTGCATCAAGTCTTCACCCGCCTGCTCCAAGCACCACTGAGTCACTTCCTGCCCTCAGCTCTCGCCTCCGAGCTGCCTTCCAGCCTCAGCCTCCCCTGGGACAGCTCTGAAATCTCAAGTATGAAGGGGGGCTCTGGCGTGGTGAGGAGCAGAGTCCTTGCAGGGACCATAAGCACAGCCACAGGCCTCACATGGCAGCTTCCCCATCAGCAAAACAACCAGAGGATGCTGCAGGTCATTTCTCAAACACACAGGGAAAATTTGGTTCTTAAAGTCAGCCTCGAAGGCAGGAGATAAATGAAACAGATGAGTTCTGGTCACAGCCTCCTCCTGCACCACTGGGGTGTTGAGTTTAAGGATGTGCATACACCAAGCTCTGCTGAGCAAGCTGCACCACGGGCACTTCCCCAAGCACGGGCAGGACACCCTCCTGCCCAGAGCAGTTACAGGCTGTTCTGGGCTCTGCAACGGATTGAGCAAAACAGCTGGCACTGCTGTAAGGAAACACCATGCATTTGAAATGAAATAAGTGCTGTCAGAGGCACCCTTGCTCAGCTAAGTAGGCAGCTTCCTGAAAATGCCCACAATTTTGGAAGAAGTAGCAGAATCTGTTAAAGCAGCTGACAAACCACAAGACCTGAATTGTTGCATGATTTTAATATAATCTTAGAATGACAAAATGAGAGTTTCCCATTGTTCAGATCTCTGAGGTGCCCCAT